ATAAGACAAAAAGGGAAGTAAAAGGCATATAGGTTGGAAAGGAAAAATAAAACTGTCTTTGTTCACAAGTGATATGATTGTCTATGTGGGAAATGCAAAAGAATCAACAACAACAACAACAAAAAACCTCCTGGAACTTAGAAGCAATTATAGCAAAGTTGCATGATACATGGTTAATATACAAAATTCACTCACTTTCCTCTGTGCCAGCAATGAACAAATGGAATTGAAATTAAAAACACAATACCATTTACATTAACACCTCCAAAAATGAAATACTTAGGTATAAATCTAACAAAATATGTACAACAGGAGGAAAGCCACAAAACTCTGATAAAAATATACCAAAAAAGACTAAATAAATGGAGAGAGGTCGTCCACATTAATGGATAGGAAGACTTGGTAATGTCAAGATGCTAGATCTTCCCAACCTGATTTAACACAACTTTAATCAAAATTCTAGCAAGTCCTTTTGTGGATATGAGCAAAATGATTATAAGTTTATGTGGAGAATGAAAAACTCAGGATAGCCAAAACAGTACTAAAAAATAAGAAAAAAGTCAGAATACTGGCACTACTTGATTTCAAGGCTTATTATAAAGCCATAGTCAAAACAGTATGGATTTGGTTAAAGAACAAATAGATAAATGAAATACAACAGAGAGCCCAGAAACAGACTCACACAAATATAGTCAACTAAGCTTGGACAAAGGAGCAAAGGCTATGCTATACAATGGAGAAAGGACAGTCTTTCTAACAAACAGTGCTGGGAACAACTGGACATCCACATGTAAAAAGACAAAAAAAAAAAAAAAGGACCTAGACACAGACCTTACATCCTTCAGAAGAATTAGCTCAAAATGGACCAGACCCAAATATAAAATACAAAACCATAAAGTGCCTAGAATTAACATAGGGGGAAATTTCTAGGTGACCCCACGTATGGTGATGACTTTTTTATATATAACACCAAAGGCATGATCCATGAAAAAAATAATTGACAATCCAGACATCATTAAAATGAAAAACTTTTCCTCTGTGAATGACAAGAGAATGAGAAGACAAGCCACAAACCAGAAAGTATTTCCCTAAGAATTATATGACACATGTGATAAAGAACCATTGTCCAAAAGGTACAAAGTAAAACTCAACAATAAGAAAGTCTACAATGAAATTTAAAAATGGGCAGAACTGAACAGACAGCTCACCAAAGAAGATATACTCATTACTCATGGCAAATAAGCATATGAAAAGGTGTTCAAATCTTGTGTCATTAGGCAGCTGCAAATTAAAACAACAATGAGATACTACACACCTATCAGAAAGGACAAAATCCAAACTACTCAGAGTGCCAAAGGCTGGCAGGATGGGGAATAATCACAAACTCTCACTCATTGCTGGTGGGAATGCAAACTGATACAGCCACTTTGGGAAACAATTTGGCATATTCTTACCATAAATGTTCTTACCATGCCAACTCCGCGACCATGTTCCTTAGAAGTTACCTAAATGAGCTGAAAATTTATCCCTAACAAAACCTGCACCTGGAAGTTCATAGCAGCTGTATTCATAAATGACAAAAGTTGGAAGCAGTCAAGATGTCCTTCAGTAAGTGAATGGATAAATACATCCAAACAATGGAATATTCTCAACCTAAAAAAGACGTGAGCATGATCTGGCCCCTCCCTCCTCTCTTATTCTGTCTCATCCCAGCTTCCCCATTCTGGACCGCTGCCCAACCACAGCCACCTCTCTGTGCCTCCCCAACAAGCCACGCCTACTTCCACCTTGGCATCTTTTCACAACCTGCTTCCTCTGCCTAAAACCCTCTTCATCTGGCTGCCTCCTGCTGTCACTCCCTCCTAAGCTTCAGGTCTCTCATGGCCATCCAGTCTAAGTGTTCCCTTCCCCACCCCCCATCATCACCTACCTACCCCATTACTCTACTTATCTACCCTATGGCACTACCTGCTCCTCCATGTCCAGCACATTTTTATAAAATTATTAGGCAGAGTTTCTATTTAAAGTTCCTTTCAAACAAAGCGGAATTTTTAAAGCTCCCTTTGTTGTGTAGTTTCAACTCAGACACAATGAGCAACAATTATAAAATACTTTGAGTTTGCATGTCTGTTCTCCATCAGATTATATCATGCTACAGAAAATGTATGGGTAGCATGTTTTCATCTTTTGGAACAGATATTAGTTTGTCCCTAGACTGCCATGACAACATTCCACCCATACAAAACTCCAAAAACTGATAGAATAATAAATCACTTGTCACTAGTTCAGTAGCACTGAAGACTAACCCTCTTGGGCATCTATCTCTCTACAAACCATTAAAGAAAAATATACGCCACCCTGGGTTACTCAGATAGATGCCTAAAAAGATCACAGTGATACCAAACACTATGTCAATATCTAGAGAAAAAACCCTTGGAATGTTGGTGTTTTTTCATGATTCAGAACCAAAAGGATTTATTAGGTCATATTTATTGAGAGCCTGTTAATATGTACTCAATTTCCCACAAAAAGAGGTTTTATTCTTTCTCAAAACAACTATTATTTCAAAATTAACATCACCAACATCTAGGCGAAGATAATTTTTCACCATACAACCATACTTTTTAAACTTCCTTGGCTGAAACTTCCCTAGGAGTTGAGGATAATTAAAACATTATTTAGTGTCTTCTGTTTGACCTCAATGTGTTAAAAGGCAGCATGACAGAATTGTGCTTTTCAGGACTTCTCAGGGGAAAGAATTCATGAAGGATCAAGATGTTATCAGTACTCTAACTACATACAAGGCACAAGATTTTAAGGATGGTTAATAGGTGGCTAAGAGCCACTAGTGAAAATGGACAGAAGATGAAGGAAAAACCAAAACCAAAACCAATTGAAAGGAGAGTAAAAATCAGAAAATGTATTAAGTGATTTCAATAACATACCAAAATAAAAGCAAACTTTTCTGAAGTGTGTTTTTAGTCAATTTTTGTTATTTTGTTAAGTTTTTGTTTTTCTCTTGTGTGTTTTTGTGATTTCAATTCCTACCGTCTCATCCTCACCGCTCAGCCCATAAAAGTAGATTAATAACAGCCATCGTTCTCGGATATTTAACTTCCATTGACTTAAGGCAGTGAGTTAAGTCTAAAGCAGAGATCGAAAGCAGTAGAGGTATTTTTGAACCTAACACAATTGGTTAAAGTATTGTTTCAACTGCTACCGTTTAAGGAAATAAGAACATTTACATAAAAATCAATCATTACAGTCCCTCTTCAAACACTAGGAAAAAAAAAAAAAAATCAACCCAAGTTCCACATTCCTGAATGGTAGCAATAGCCAGGAGCAAAAGCAACCTACAAGTTCCCTTCACCCTCTGCAGTCATCACTATTCCCTGTGACCCCAGACCAAAACTAAATGGCAATTACTTTTTATTCTCAACACTAATATTGTTACCTAACTTACATAAAATTCATTTTACTGATTTTTGTGACTTAGAAATCTCTGTGGCCCTTTAAATTTTCAGCACATAATCTTGAGGTTTTGCCAAGACCCTGTTGGCTTTTATAAGGCTTTCTTTAATAGTGATCATTCTGTTAGAGTCCATGATCAAAGGAAGGAAACCAACACAAAGCAAAAGTCATGCAAAGCTTTACTCCACACCAAGCATCGAAAATTAAACCAACCATTCGGGGCCATCTCTTACAAAGGGGCAACGACGACCAGGACACCAACCCTGGCAGTTCCCCTTACCTGGTGAGGGGAGGATGTTCCCCTTACCCGGCGAGGCCAGGCCAGGCCAGGCCGCTCCCCTTACCAGGCGAGGCAAGGCGAGGCGCGGCCAGGCCGCTTCCCTTACCAGGCGAGGCCAGGCGAGGCCAGGCCAGGCCAGGCCGCTCCCCTTACCCCGGGAGGCGAGGGGAGGCAAGGCGGCTCCGAGGCGAGGCAGCTCCCTGGCGAGGCTCATGACGCTCCCCTTACCCGGTGAGGCGAGGCCAGGCCAGGCCGTTCCCCTTACCCGGTGAGGTGAAGCGAGGCGAGGCGAGGCCAGGCCGCTCCCCTTACCTGCCGAGGCGAAGACGCTCCCCTTACCCTGCGAGGCGAGGGGGCTCCGAGGCTAGGCGGCTCCCCGGAGAGGCTCATGATGCTCCCCTTACTCGGTGAGGCAAGGCCAGGCCAGGCCGCTCCCCTTACCTGGGGAGGCAAGGCGAGGCAAGGCCAGGCCGCTTCCCTTACCAGGCGAGGCCAGGCGAGGTCACTCCCCTTACCCGGCGAGGCGAGGCGGCTCCCTGGCAAGGCTCATGATGCTTCCCTTACCCCGCGA